ATCTCTGCCCTTTCAGTTTTCTTCAAAATTAAAAATAAATTTCTTCCTTTCTTTCTGTATCCGTCTTTCACATCTCTGCTTTTTTTATGTTCATCTATATACTGACCCAATAGCTTCATACTAATCTTTGTAAATGTATCTTCACCATACAGTAAACAGTCATCTGAGTGTTTCTGTGTGGGTTCTGGTCTGACAAACCATAGCTCAATTGATTAAAGTACCAGGCACAGGTAATACTTGTATCATTTGATTGCTGTTTTAATTTGAAGGAGACTTTCAGCAGGCTTTCTCTAAACATTTGATTACAGAAGATCAAAGGCTTTTTGTTTCTGTTGTTGCCGATTTGCAGCGTATCAGTTACTTGAGTAATGATATTTATTGGTAAATCGTGGATTAACTTAATCTGAGCTCGCTGGCCAGGATCCCAAATGCAAGCCCAGACAGGAAGGCAGATTCATATATTGTTGTTAAATAAGGCCAGATGTTAGTACAGTATAGTAAAATGTAAATAAAGAATTATGTACACCTGCATGTCTTGCATATTCCAAAAAACATCGAATTGTTTTTTCTGTGGCAATTAAACAACATAAGAGAATTCCCATTTAAAGTGAGTTTTGTTATTGTAAAATGAAAATTAATAATCGGTGAAGTTCTACAGAGCTCTTACTGTATGATTTTTTTTATGTCTTTGAACGTTCAAGCACACCTCGCCTGTGCGTTCCTGGGGAAGAGGGGCCCATTCTCGTGCTGTGAGCTTAGTGTGGGGTGCAGGAAACCAGCGGGCTCTGTCCAGCACATGTACCCAGAACTCCACCAGAGTTACTGGGAGGAAACTCAGTACCTGGAAAAACAGCAAGAAAAAATCTTGATTTTTCCAATGTGCGTGCAAACAAGAATGTCTTGTGAAAGTGTTCCTACCAGATTTAAAAAAATAATGAAGCAATAATTTTTGCTTTATTGTTTTCAGGTGCGATTTTAATTTAGGCTGGTGCTTTAGTGATTTTTTTTTTTTGCAGTTTCTGAGAAAAGGCACCATGGAGTTGTTTCTGATTTTATTCTGTTTTTTCTGATCCGTGGTGCTGTTTATCTCCGCGATTTCTGTCCAGAATGACAATTACCGGAGCCAATCATCCTGCATTAGCCTCATTTACTAAAAATAAAGCCCAGACAATGACTGGACCTTATAAATGATTCCTGGACACATTCCTAACCCACAATCAATCCCTATTAAGTGGGTTTGGAATTTGTGTTATCTCAGCGGGGAAATGGATATTTTGATCAATACTGCCTCGCATCCAGCTTACACCATGATAAGGCAAGTAAAGAGATAAGACGGACCATAAAATGTGGTATAAGAAAGGTTTAACCTGTGATTGTGGTACTCTGCAAACAGTCATATCTAGCAGCATTGAAGCGCAGGAGCAGATCTGGGTTACACTGGGGATAGTCTGGTGTTTTTTTTACAAAAATCCTCCTGAAGTTATTTCTTTGGCATCATTTTTTGGTTTCTTGGGAAATTGGCGTGAAGTCATAGCTTGTCCGCGATACTGTCATGGCAAGGAAGTATGCAAAATCTGCTTTTTCTCCGCTCGGGTTTGGAGTTAAGTGCTCTGAAATGTCTCTTTTGGCCCATGGTGAAGTCATCCAGTTACCTCCCGGGAGGGTCAATAGCTACAGTATATTTCATGTTCAGGAAAAGTTACTCATGATCTTCTATTCTCAGCTATGCTTTTTAAAAGCACGCAAGGCAGCAGTGAATCGGATCCAGCACCGCTTCTGAAACGGAGAAGGATTGGGCTGTCACCATTCTGCTTAAAAAAGGCATGCAGAGCTAACAATGTGCTACACACCAGGATTTCAGCTGTTTGACACTTACATAAAGGGGAGTTTGGAGAGTTTCGGGTGTGGCCCTCTGCTCTGGCTGTAGTGAGTCTGTGTGAGTGCCGATATTCCTGCTGGACTCAGGGCTCTAGCTTTCCAGAGGCGGCTGTGACCCACTGGCATACTGGAGCTCCCCCTATAGTCTCTGGGGGGAAATGCGACTTGCAGTGCTTTGGCATGAATGGCGCTTTGTTGCATCTCTGAAAGTCCTTTCATGCCGAATCATCTGTATTTTAACTCAAGCTCTACAGAAGCCTAATCAAAATCCTATGTGTGGTTTAATATAGCTGTTGAAAATATCGCTTTGTGAAAAGCCAGTAGAATGCGTTCCTGAAGAGTTGTACGGTGCCTTCTGAGATTTCTTCATCTTGTTTCATCCCAGAAGTTTAGTGAGGGTCTGGTCAGCACTGGGATGGGAGACCTCTAAAGAAGTGTAGTTGTTGTAGGTAGTGTTGTCAACCAGTAGGTGGTGCTCTCCCCCCGAAACAGTTTCCAAAGCAGTGTCACACTATGGTGACTCTGTGCTGTAAGAGGAGCCAGCTTTCAGATGAGATGCTAAACAGTCTTGGTCACACAGTTAACACTGGTGTTAACCGCTGGTTAGAGTCCACTCTGAGTTTGTGTAGTCCAGTCTACCTTAAGATTCTTTTGCTTCAATCAAATGGGGTTTTTCGGCACTGTCTGCTCCGTTTTGAGTGTTAACTGGATAAGAGCTCAGATGTTACAAATTGTAACAAATTCTCTGTAACTGTAACGCGTTAGCGGCAGATACCGTTACCATTCTCGGTTTGTTTTCTGTGTTTAACTGCAGATTTATAACGCGGTGTCCAGTATGAGCTGTCAAATTTTACACACTTTCAGAGCTTAATTACATTTATAGTAATTATGAGCGGGAGCAGTGAGTTGGTGCATTGTCAGCTGTTTTTTTTTTCCTACTAGAAGTGTTTTTTTTTTGTGTGTGTGTGGGAGAACCGCATTTCGTGTGGATTTCTCCGACTTGTGTAACACACATTTGGACTTTCGTAATCCGCGGAGCTCGTAAACCGCATTGGACCTGGCCCGTTGCCCCCAGTTCTGGGGAAGAGAAGATTGATCAGTAACATGCGAGCTGGCGTGGGTCCAGTTAGTGCGTGTTCGCGCGTCCCGCGTGGGAAGAGCTCCGAACAGCCCGACAGCCCCTCGCTTGAGACGGGGCAGTGGTGTACAAAGACCACGTGCCCGACCTCTCCGGAGCCACGTTGCGGAACGGCCACTCGGGGAAATGAAAACCACGCGTGCCCCCCTCTCCCCGTCTTGGAAAGCAATACTCGGAGATTCCACACTGCGTCTCGCGAACGCGGCGCGAGTGCTTGGAAGGAAAGTTCGTGCTGCTGCAGGCGAGCTTCACAGCGGATGAGTTTTTTTTTAAATAAGGCCCTTTTTGTTAGATTTTCGGCTTAGCTGCAAGTCATTGATTGATTCAGGGAGGACTGCGTATCTGCGTTCTTGAGCGTGTGTGTGTGGGCTTGATGACAAGAGAGGCGAGAACGTTGTCTTAGGTGTTTGAAGAAGTGGGACCTCAGGTTAAGTAATGCATCAACCTGTGCTGTCTCAGTCCAGTCTGCAGCACTGGCACTGCGGTCCAAGGAGGAGCACAATGAGATAACCTTGAAAGCAGCTGCATAGGTACAAATCCTCTTGTCATTGTGGATCCTTGCTGTACAACTCCTGCATAGTTTGTGAAATTTCTACTGTTACATAAAGCATTCAGTAATGCATTCACCATTACCAATGTTAACATAAATGATTAATATAGGGAATATTAATAATATGTGCAAAACCAAATGAGATGGTACAAATTATGAAAGACTTAATGAAACCCGGAAATAACACATACCACTTCATACAAGTCACCAACTGGAATTCAATTTTATTTCTCCAGATCCCTGAAACAGCCCTTAAAGAAGTCTGTGACTCATAATATCCAGTGTGCAGGGGACACGACTGTGCTGTATTAGTGAGATTTATGACTGCGTGCCACTGACACACTTGTTAATGGCTCCCAGAAGAGACTTCTTCTGCATCCTGTCTGGGAAGTTCACCCTTGTGTGGACTCGTGTGTTCCACTATGAAGAAAGCTACTTTACAGTTTCTTTGTTATGTTTCCCAGAAAGAAGCTCCCCATTTTTTTGTGCCAGCAGCTCTTAGCTGGATCATGTGGTCACAGGATTCCATTCCATCACATTGCATGGTTCTGATCCAGTCGTTAAGTTTGCCCACTTACCTACAGATCCGCAGACAAGAAGTCAAAATTAGCTTCAGCCCGACCCATTTGGAATAGTTCAGCATGGAAATGCTGATACTGGATAGCCCAGCTCTACGTTTGTGGCATATAAGTGTTGCATCCTCTTCTAGCAGCATGGTCTCTCTGTTGAACTGCAAACCTGATGGCTCATTGGGCTTTGAGCTCCAGCCACAATATAAATTAGATTTCAGAAGCTTCTCTTCCCCCAGTGGGTTGAGGGGGGGCTGACATCATAGTTTCCCTTGTTTGCATTAAAGGGATTAACCCCCTCCCAGGCTCGGAGATATCCTCAGAAAAACATGAATTTTGAAAAATGCGCCGATTGTGCTTGGGACCATAAACAAACTTTTTGAAACCTTTCATTGCTGTCTGTCTCCTAGTGTTCTGCCGTTCAGGAGTACCACAGGACACCCCACAGCACTCGAATTAAAAGGGAAAAAGACCGGATTTGATAACTGCGTTTTGCCGGGCCTGCTGTTGTGTTGCAGTCTGGACGCTGGCCTGCATTTGTGGCGTTTTCCCCAAAGGGAAATCTGAATGCAAACCAGAGGGAGGGCATGGAAAAGAGAGGGGGAACAAATCCTTGGACTGGTGTGTGTTATAGAGGTAGTGTAACTGAGCAATACACTGTGTACTGGCAGCCTATTGGGAAAACTGCCCGTTAACTAATGGGGCTCCTGATTTGAAGGCTTTTAAAATGGGTCGTGTGTGTGTTAAGTCTTCCCTTCAGCGGTGAAGAATTATGCAGGTCAGGAATCGTGCTAAAAATAAAACTGTTGTTTTGAAACTCCCCATGTCTTTGTCAGCTTCTAAAGCCATTGCTTTGTTTTTTCAGGTCTATAAAGGTGAATTTCAGCTACCTGATTTTCTTAAAGAACAACCACAGGTACAGTAACTATTCTGCCTGTTGTTCTGCACCTTCTTGTTTCAGATTTTGTTTGTTTCAGAATCAATGCCGTAGTGTCTGTTGCTTGCGTTTGTGTTCTGTTCTCCCTTCGTCGATAACGATGATCCACTCTCCATTCCCCTGAACTCGCTGTGTAAATGATTCTGAACAGTTCTGCATCAGCTCTCTCTCCTCTCATCTCCAATAGCTTAGCTGTTTCCTTGCTTTTTTAAAAAAAATCTTCCAAAGCCTTAAATCAACCTCTTTTTTTTCCCCCCAAGTGTTGTGGAAGTATACTGCCCCCTCAATGATCAAAGGAAACGAGCAGGAGTTCAAGGAGTTAAAAATGAGGGAATCTGATTTTGCTTTGATTGATGATGGAATCTGCCTCAGTCAGAGGTAGAAGTATAGAGAACGGGTGCACTCGATTCCAAGAAGGCTGAAATACAGGCCCGGCCGGTGTTCAGTTGATCCATCTAGGGGACCTTGGCCACCCTGCAGAGTGTTCGCCAAGATACTGGGCCACCTTAGGCAAGGGGCAGTAACCACCTCCTTACCACTGACTGGCTGAAGGATCTGTGATTGCCCGTGGCTCAACATGTTCTTCTGTTACTGCCATTGGAGCCCTTTTCAGTGTTCACTTTATCCTCCAGGAGACCGAGGCCAATATAGTCAAGGTAACCTGGGCAGCCTGCCCAAAACCGTTAAATGGTTCACAGTGGTGCGTTCAGAAGGCAGTCTGTTACACGTCGAACTGCAGAGACCCGTTCTAAGTTCGGTGTTGGACTGGGTCCAGCTGACTGGTTCTGTTCCGAAAGCTGTTGCAGGGAACATGTGGCCCACAGTACCACGAAGTTCTGGTGTGGATACATGCTTGACTGTCTCTGCAGAGAGTCTGCCTGCATGCGGTCCCCCAGTATAATGGTTGTCTGCAGCTAACTGTGTAGTTAGTGAAGCCCTGTTAACTAAGGAATTGTGCTGCACAGCTGTGCTGTTGTGTTTTGTAAGTGTGTTGAAGTAGCTTTGTGGGCTTTGAATAGGTATTGCCTCGTTTTAAAGCACTTTTTGTTGTTTCAACCTTACCAGCAAGCTGTATTGGTAAGTGAGATTTAAGGAGAAAAAATAAACCTTAATCTGTTTTAAGTCTAGACCTTCAGGAGTTTGTAATCCCTGACATATATACGAGGTTTTATAAAACAAGGAAAGGGCTGGTGTTTTTATGGGGCCGAATGCTGTGAAAGAGCACAGGCTTATGATCTAATTAGCACCACGAAGCCTGAAAACAGTAATTTAACTGCAGCCAAGCACTGCTCTGTTTATGCTGCTTTTGAAGAAGCAGGTTTAAAGAGATTGCAGGGCCAAGATGAATCTAAATATTAGGGCGTGATTGTAGGTCAGGCACTCTCACTTGCCTGTGCAGGTGAGCTAGGAGCTCTCGCACAGAGGGTTTCTCCAATAACTGATACCTTCTGCTCATTCTGATTGACACCGCACCCCTTCAGACCAGTGCAATGAACCCTGGTTAAAAGTGGTTTCAGTTTCCCTTGCAGGAGAAGATGCCCAAAGTGGCTGAAATTAGACTCGACGAGTTGTTTTGCAGTTTTGCCAGATGACTGCGGTTCTGCTCTGAGCTTTCAGTGTTGATGGCCCATTCTTGTGCAGAATTCCTCGAATAAGTTTGCATTTGAAAGCAAGAACCGTCTCCAGTGAGGTTCTTGGGCTCCTCTACCCTGTCTGGGGGTGGAGCTCTACGCAGATGTCGTGATTTCTGCGGTTTGTCACCTTGCCTCAGGCTCTAAAGGATTCTCCTTCAGAATAAGAGGTGTAGTTTAATAACTCGCCTTGCCTGGAGTTAAAGGTTTTGTTTTACCTTCCTGCAGTAGCTTTATAGTTTCTTGCTGCTGCATTCAAATAATATATATCGTAATGAGCAGTAAGGTTGAACCAAATGGAGAGGAGGGTCACATCTGCACAAATACGACCCACCTGTACATGTTTTAAACCTCCCCCCCAGTCTCAGGGGCCCACTGTGAAGCCTACAGACCTATGACTAAGTTGCATGTGCTCACTGGGAGTAATCCTCACCTGAAAAAGGTAGAATGTAAATGTTTGCTGTGTGGGTGTTGCATTCAGGGCCATAAAAGAGTTGTGCTGCTCTGGAGACAGTCTCCTACAATATGGTGAATGGCGAACGTTGAAGGGTTTAATAGGCCTTGGGGCCAGGCTGTGGAAGCCTGCTCTACTGACCAAGAGAGGAGCAGGGACTCGAGAGGACAAGAGACAGGGCTTGGAGCACAGGGAGTCACGGCCAGTCTGTCGGGGGCAGAGAAGGGAGGGCAGTATAGGAGAGGAATCAAAAGGTGTGTCCAACTCAACAACTCTCTCCAACTCGATGTCTTCTCTCTTTTCAGATCCCGAAATCTCCAGAAAAACCACATCCCAGTTAATGTGGAGGAAGGAGAGGACTCCGCTCTGGGAAAAGAATCCAAGTGTGTTGCAAACGCCTTTTCCTCACTGACATTTCTTGTTTTTCCTCTCGGGCCTGGGGCCCCATTTCTCAAAAGGAGTTGCATACAAAAGTCTAAATATGTTTGAAAAGGAGCAGGGAATTAAACATTTGACTTGCATGATGTTTATTCTCTAAAATGAAATCTCATTTAATTCTGGCTGAATTTAATCCTGTCGTTTCCAAAGCTTAAAAAAACTTCACTTTAAATATCAGCAACTCTTTGCAGAGTCTTACCCTGGTTGTAGGCATTGAGTTGTTATTTTATTAGAAAGGTTTACTAACTTTATCTAGGACTGGATTACCTGCTTTATGTTCTTTTTGTATTTCTTCCTCTTGCCAACATGGGATTTTGCATGGGATTTTGCAGTAGTTCCTCATGGCTGGCCTTGAGAAAGCACAGTACGGATGTGTACATGTTGCACAGGCTTGAGTGCAGCGTCTCCGAGTAGTGTGCTATGCTAATTTACCCCCACCTCGCCACCTAGTGGTTAGTTAACATAACAGCAAAGACAATGGGCGTCCGTGAAGGACTGAGTGACTTCCCCATTGTAACCTCCTGTTTTGAACACATCCGTATTTCAGCAGCTAGGTCCTAATGAATGCTCTAAAGGAATGAAACTTTTATATTTAACGTTTTACGTTTTCCCTTTATTGCTGAGGGAATGGCAGCCCAGCAAGGAGAATAAGCTATCCAAGCCTCACTATCGGGAGTTTAGTTGCTGGGTGTAGATGGGGAGGCAGGATGTGAGAGATAGTCGTCAGGGAGGTCCCGGGTGCGACTTGTGTACTCGTCAGCAGATATGTGCAAGACTAGGATCAAACCTTCCACTCAAACGTGTGTTATAATCCCCATGAACAAACAATAAGGAAAATGCTATTAGTTAGACTTCTAAAAGAGTAGCTTGCTTTCACAGCCTGCTTTTATGGTTTTGGGAGCAGAACGTTTGATTAAAATGCTAATATCGAGTTTGTCGGTCTTTCTGTGATGGTGGGAAACTGCCTCCTGCCTCTTTAATGAGTTTCTGTTTCCTTAAGAGACAAGGGTGGAGATGTTTGTGTGATCTGGAGCTGACTGTGCTTTTTGAAATGCAGTCAGCATGGTGGATCATTAAATATTTAATTAAGCAATTTAGCACGGACCTTTTAGACGAAAGGGCTAGTGTTCTAATGTGGCGTTTTGGCTGCAGCAAAGAGATTTGCCAAAAGGTATTGCTCCCTTAATGTAATTTTACTCCATCCACCTATTTTCTGACGGTGTCTTCACATTCGGGATCGCAGGGGAGCTATGGCCTATCCCAGCAAGCAATAGGTGCAAGATGGGATACCGTTATGGACGTCAGTCCGGCGCAGGGCAGAGACAGACAGACAGACACACACTTGCACCAGGGCCAATTCTCCCACAGTCCAAAGACATAATGGCGGGTTGAAACGCAGAGAAAACCCTCATGAACTTGGGGAGAACATGCAAACTCCACCCAGGCAGCCCCCTGGGTCTAAAATTGAACTTGGGGACCCAGAGCTGGGAGACGACAATGCTGACCACAGGGCCTCCCATGTCACCCCATGGCCTGCAGTAACACTGGGGGAATGGCTCTGCATGCTTGCCTGAGCACTCTCTCTTACTTGGCAGCTTGGTAGGATGCTGCTCTTACAATCTAAACTGCTCCTCCTGCAGCAAGTCTTCCATTGTGTTCTAGTTCACTGCTCTCCTTTCTCTAAGAACATATGAATTGCTAACAGCAGCCACTTGAACCTCCTGGAGTTCTTTCTGATGTATGACCATTGGAAAATACAGGATGATTTGACTTTTTACTTTGGTGGAGTTTATCAGGGCCTCAATGACTGGAGGTGACCCAACACTGTTAAATGTGCATGACTGTGAATTACATCATGACTTCCTGGTTAGTGGTCTTCTAAACACATGTAGGTGGTGTAACAAAACAATAATAGTATCTTTAGTATTTAATAGTATGTTTATCATATGCTGTGGAGCCACTAAGGAATATTTAGTTTAATATTTAGTGTTTTTAACAACACATTAGGGATCGCCTCCAGAAAGGTAACCAAAAATGTGTTGAAAAAAACGCTTTGTACAAGGCTTTGAAAGTAAAGCTATCTCTTGAAACATCCCAAGGCTTATCGGCGTATAGCTAATGGTGTTCAATGAAGTTAAAGTTGATTGTTGCTGTTCGTGCTTCTCCAACACATTGCAAACTCTTTTAGACCCGTTTTTTTTTTCCTGCTGCTGTTTTTCCAGGAAGGAGCATCACAGTGCGGATGGATGCCATCAGTTTTGTGCTGGAATGTTGCCCTGGGAAGACATGCAGTGCTCTGATGGACACACCGGGATCCAAGTGCATTTTCCATGAACTTGAATCGGGCTCCCCGCCTGGGACCAGTGCTCTCCCAGTATGGAGAAGTCATCTGGGCCTTTGTCGTACTGTATCCAATGCCTCCGTCGCGGTGTGGCCGCGCAGTATCATTGCTCTGTCGTTTTTATTTTGGCGCGCCATACTCGTTGGGATTCGCGTTCGTCTTTTCTTTCCACGTTGTCTGTAATTCTGTTGTAAAACGAGCATTGCATCACTGTCAAGAGTGAGCTGATTTTTGAGTTTTGCCCCAGAGGATGCAGTATCTTTTTTTTTTTTTTTAAATGTGCGTGTATGGTGCAATTTCATAGGTACTGATGTACAAGGCGGGGCGGGTGAAAGGGTTGACTGCAGTTTGTTTAAAATTTTTGTAACCAGTCATCACTATGGAAGTGATCTTTTTGTATTTGGGGACCAGTAATTAAATGAATGTGTTTAATGAAAGCAGCCTTTTTCCCCCGTTTTCCCTGCTGTTTCAGCAGTGTAGATCCCCCCCGAGCTCATTTTTCCCATTGCAGTAACCTGGATTTTTCACACAGTGAAGGTGTTGGTTCGCTGTGCCTCTTTTTGCTCCTGTCCTCTGCTCTCTCAGCCAGGCTAGACTTGTGCCTTTTTTATTTTCCAAGGAAAAGTGGTTCTCAGGAGCTTGGCGACAAATACCTGCTGGACATCTTGATTTCCGAAGCAGGAATCGGACAGCCAGAGCCGACTCATTTTCTCCTAGCCTTTAAGACCTGAGCACCTAGAGCTGGAAGAGAACATTACTGGCTCTGAGGGCTGCAAAGCAACTCCTAATTAAGCCCAGAGGTGCTTTGCTACCCTCAGAGCCAGTAATATGCTCTTCCAGCACCACTGTTTCAGTTCCTTGGCCTGAAACATGTCAAATTCTATGAAAAGCGGTTTGTAGCTCTGAAAGCAAGATTTCCCAGCTGTGGTCTCGGATAACAGGTGTGGCTGCAGGTTTTCAAGGGAGTTTGAATCTTTTTTCACCTTCTGTTTGGTGACCTGCTTCAGTTAAACTAGCTTCTCAAGCAGCCAAAGCTGGAGAGCTGGGACAAAGACACAGCAGCACCACCAGGGCTGGACCTGAACCAGTCTTGATGCCAGAGGGCTACCTTTACAGGGTCTCTTTTAAAGTAGCAGTGTACTGGAGGGCCCAGAGAGTGTTAAATTCAGTTAAGAGTTGTAATGTAAACCTGCAGCCACACTTACCCTCAATCAGCAGCATTGGATAGTCCCTGGTTGAAAAGCAAGTGTTTGATAGCCTTACCCTGTGCAATGTCTAGGTCCCTTTGTAAATTCCAGGTTTTGAACTGCTCAGCTGATTAGGTCAAGTTAAGGAACAGGGCCCATGCCCAGGGAAAACCAGAAACCTCTGGGGTCCCTCAGACCCACTCACACAGGACCCTTCTCTCGATGATCTTGCAGGACCCTGCTGCCCTAAGAACATAACGGTCTTAGAAAACAGACTGGATATATATCCATTCATTTTATAACTGCTTCTTCCACTAGAGGGTCACAGGGGAGCTACATCTTGTCAAGGAACACCCACACGTACACACCCTCCACCCCAGGGAAAAGTTTCAGAGACGTCAACCTACCAGCATCTCTGAGAGGTGGGAGGAAACTGGAACACCTGGAAGAAACCAGTAGGGAAGAACATACACACTCCTCCCCCCCATCTAGAATTGAACCAGGAGCCACGAGGCTGCGAGACAGTTGTGCTAACCCACCCCCCAACTCCTCTCGTGCTGCACATTGGCTATATTAAAATGAATCTATCAGAGCTAGACTAAAGGTCTGATCTATCTAGACCAGGCTTTAATTCCTACAGTCTTTACCTTTGCCTATTCAAGATGATGTCCTGTAACCCCTGGGAGTCAGAGGAGCAGAGGTCAAGCAACCAGTCATGAAAATCACTTGGCTCTTCTGTGCCACCTGGTGGCGAATGATGTCAGAACACCCTGAAGATAGAGCACACTTGATACTCCCACCTAAATTGGAATGAGACAGCCTTTTTTATTGATATGTTACATTCAAGATAATACTTGAATCAATCCTTAATAATACATAAATTATCATTCAAATGTTTGTTTCCAAATAAAATTAAAAAAAAAATCAGTGCACGACCTTCATAAAGAACACATAACAGTCGACAAATAACGAACATTTCCCCCTGGTGAAAGCTGTAGTTCTGTAGGATACAGGACACCTGGCTTAGAAATACATTCTGAAAAACACCACAGTCTCCTTAAACCTCTTTTTCCATTTCCCCACTTGAGAGAGGGAGAAAGAACAAATAAAACAGTTCACAACATAAATAAAAAAAAAAGCATGTCATCTTAAATAGAGCATACAGTCTTTCCGAAACATGGTTCGAGATTGCACATCTGTCCCTGCTAAGAGACGTTCCCGAAGGCTTTGGAAACGGCGAGAGACAAGGGAAAAGGGCTCGACTATGGGTGGCGCGGAGGATACTCTGAAAACCACCCGCATCCAAAAATACATCTATTTGGAAAGTCAGAATGTCGTTCACTCTCACTTGTATTAACCCTTTACTAGTTGGACCCTCGCTGTCTGGGTTCTGTCAGCAGGTGGCGCAAACGAAGCTGCTCTTGCATCATGCCATAACGCCATCATAGTGAACAGCTCAGTTACCTTTTTGTACATATTGCAATGCATATGGGAAAAACAGATATAGTCAGACTCTATTGTAAGAACACCAAGCTGGTAATAAATAAGAGTGATAGCTCTATGCCAACACCTTCTCCTGTTTACTAAAAGGAAATTATTATTAAAGATACATGGCAATTTCAGTACCAGCATACATGTGCAAAAAAAAAAAAACCTTACCCATCTCATCTGTAATACAATAACTACTTCTCTCCAGCTGCCTGTACAAAACCACCTCCAAAGGAAGAGTACACTGTTGATTAAGGTTCATGCAGACAAAAAAGTGCCGTTAAACCTTGACATCCCCACACTGGAGCTCAGCTGAGACACGTCTGCAAGAATCTCTCTTGCAGCTTCTGGCAACACTCAATTGGAAAAGTGTTTTCTTTTCTCTTTTTAGTTTTATTTTGGAGTTGTGCATCGTTAACTATGGAACTGAGATCAGGATAATTCTGAACGCTGGCTTGCCGGGCACGAAATCCCGCCAGCTCAACAGGACTGTGGCCAATTGAACTGGCACAGCCCCTAGAAGAGCACTATGTGACACAGGTGATGCATTCAACAGCTGCATATAAGACTTCCACCCTCAGCCGAGCAGAACGAAAGTGAGTGAAGGTTTAGGCTCTGGCACCATGCAAAGGCACTCCAAAAAAATAAAAATCCGTTACAAAAGATCTATTGGTCATTCCTGACGCCTGATATCATGATTATGCTTTTGAGATTCTGCTTTATAGAATATTTTTAATATTCTATCATGTTCTCCTACCCTAAGGAGATTAAAAAAAAACATAAAGCTAGATGCATTTCATTCAAACACGCGTTTGATTTTGAGCAAGCTAAAATTAAAAAACAAATCCTTGACAGACTTGACACAAAGCTGCAGTGGTTTTCTACCTCTTCATTCACCATCAGTCTGCCTGTGCTGGTGAGGGCCGCAAAGATTTGGTCTGCATTTCAGTTAAGTGGCATTTGTTCATTGTGCAACACTTAAAACCACAAAGCTATAAAAACAACCACACACCTCTCCAAAAACTGGAAATGTAGGGACATGTGATCCTGGTTCGTGCTATCGCTGGTTGAGAACTGAATTTTGTGCTGTTGGCAACAAGGCGCAGAACCAGTGCCCGGCCCTTCCAGACACTTGTGAAGTGTCGGACCCGGGCGCGAGACCACTTTGACAGAGGTGAGGCAACGTTTGGTCCCACGATCCACCTCTGTTGCAAAGTGCTGCACCACAACACTGCTGCAATATCAATTTTCAACAGGGCCCAGATTGCTTTGCCTGTTGGCTGCCTCTGACCTCCAAATCAATGCACTTTATTGGCATCGCCAGGTGTTTGCTGAAATCTTGGCACCCACAACAAGGACTGAAGCTCTTGAATACTTGGGGAAGCAATCTGGACTAGACTTTGGACCACTTAGAGGAAAATCCTCCTGGTTCAGACTACCTGTGCTACTGTAAATCACAGCCTCCTATCCCTTCAGCAGCTAATGTATCAGGAAGGAGCTGAGCTTGTAAAAACTGAGTGCAGGTTCTACAGAACTGATTCATAAGTACCCTACACCCGTTTCTGGGATTCATTTCACTGGAACCCAGATAGAGACAAAATTACAAATTTGTATTGGCACACATTGAGAATCGTGTTGATTTTACAGGAGAAAAAAAAGCTAAAAGCTTTCCCTAAGGATAGTCATATTCCCCACAATAGAAATGGACAAGAATTGCTCGCTTTTTGGATGGTTTAAGAAAATAGAAAGACCATAACAAAAAAAAACTATAGAGAATGGAATACTTGAAAAAAGTGTCAATTCCAAATACATTAACAGTTCCTAAAAATGGCACAGTTCTGTTGGTCACAAAGTATGCATTTTTTCTTCTCCTCTTGATTCTGGCAGCGAAAGGCGTTTGTCTGACTCACCTTATCTGGCAGCCATAAGCCTGTACACAGGGGTCCTGGGGGCAGGCCTTCAGCCAGGGGGCACAGGAAGGAGGCAACACTGAAACGGAGACCCTGCCGCTGGGAAGACACCTTGGCAGGCGTTCGGCAGGAGAGCGGCGTCGCGCCTGCTTCGGCCTGCGCGCACAAACGCCCAGACGCAGTTTTCTCCCTCCCGCCCACTGTCTTCCCCCCCACCCCCCCTCAACGGGAGAGTGAATACCATTGGATTCAGGCGAAATGGGCACTGGGAAGTGTGGCTTAAGGTAACGAGAGGCTGGAAGGTTACGACGCAGGGCTTGGTCCACTGTAAACTGTAACTGTAAACCGCAACGATCTAGAACGATCCAAAGTGCGCGCGCACGAGTTCTTTTCAGCAGTTTTTTTTGTTGTTGAAATTGGGTCACAGTGGGAGAGAATGCCGGGGGGCATGCACAGGGAACAGTCTGGTCACCTATTAAGACCTGCTGGGTTCCATCCAGTACAGACGCAGGCAGGTGGACAGACAGGCCAGGCCAGGCCAGCTCCTTCCTGGATTTCACCCATCAGGACCCCATCAGAGCCCTGTATCCCCTTGCCCACATCCATCCAGCCCCCTTGGGCCTTTGGAACAGAGGGGTGTTTTGCAGTGCAGTCTGTCAGTCCTGGCTGGAGCTGCTGCAGAGGCCAGTCACTCCCCTGAGAGGAACGGACGGGAGCTTCTCGGAACAGTCAAGGCGGGACAGCTGAGAAGGAGGGAGGTCTCTCTCTTTTTTGCTTCCCAGGGTCCCCTTTCTCCGGGACCCCCGGGCCGCTCAGCGACACCTCCCCCCCCGACCCCAGCTGCTCCGCTCCCGCCTGCCCCCCGAGCTCACTTGTTCTCGATGAGAGTCTGCACTTTGTGCACCAGCTCCCTGGCCAATCGCAGAATCTGCTGCACGTCGTGCCGCTCGGCCATTTCTGCAAGACAAGAGGCAGAGCCATGGAGGGAGGGGACGAGATCCGGGAACAGAGCAACGACTCGGGAGTGAAGACAGTCTAGTTCACGGTGCTCGCAGGAATGAGGAGGGTTGGGGTTAACGAGAGGAGGGCATTCGGCCACTCTTGCCCGATCAATTTAGCAGTAAATTGATCCCAGGATCTCATCCCGCTGTTTCGTGAAGGAAGCCACAGCACCACCAGCTGGAGTGGCTTGTTCCACTCACCCACAACCCATAGAGATCACAACAAGAATCTGGAAGGCAGGCAGAAATGATCATCCCTTCCTGTACAAAAACAGGAAGTCAGCCTTCATTTCTTTCTTGAGTAGCTGCAATTCCCTCCTCCTCGTGTCTCAGCTCGCTACGACTGTAACCTGACCTCCTCACCCCTGCGGCTGGGCTGCCGTCTCTGTCAAGCCATCTTGAGTCAAACAGTTTTATGCCCTTTTAACTCAGAAACCACCAGCAATATAAATGTATACTATTTTTTCTATAATTTCTTCATTTCTGGACACTCCACTCAGATAACTCCACTGAGATAACGGCAGCCAGAGTGCACCAGTGCGCTCACACACACACCAGCTCTCAGTGGGGAGGAGAGCAGAGTGATGAAGCCAGTTTAGGGATGGGGATTATTAGGAGGCCATGATTTTTGAAGGTCAGGGGGATATTTGGCCAGGAGGCTGGGGTAACACCCCTACTCTTTTTGAGAAATACCCTGGGGTTTTTTAATGACCACAGAGAGTCAGGACCTCGATTTTACATCTCATCTGAAGGACGGCGGCTTTTCACAGTATAGTGTCCCCGTCACTATACTGGGGCATTAGGACCCACACAGACTGCTGGTTGAGCGCCCCCTACTGGTCCCACAGCAGCAGCCCAAGCTTTCCCAGGAGGTCTGCCATCCAGGCACTGGCCAGGCTCGCACCAGTGGGTGGCCAGTTGTCTAAAGCTCCTGAAACTGCAGTTGTCCCCCCAGCGAGCCTCTCTCACCATTGAAGAACTTGATGATGTCCGTGAAATCCATGTTGTTGTCCAGAATGATCTCCCGGTAGACCTCCACCAGGGCCAGAGCCATGAAGAGGACGAAATGCTCCGAGGAAATGTGCCGCGCTGCCCAGATCACCTCCCACGCCTCGAACAGGTCCTCGTACAGCAGCTCTGAGAAAGAAAAGGCCTCCGTCAGCGAGATCCTGCGAGAGACTGCGGCCACACTGCTCCCAACAGGCTCAGCGGAGGGGCCAGACAGATTCCAGGAACTCTTTCCAAATTCTGCAGAAATGATTGTATTTTCTTTTATAGAGTTAGATCATATAAGATCATAAGAAAAGTTTCAAATGACGGCCATTCAGCCTATCAAGCCTGTTTGCTAGTTAGCAGATCACCCATTCAACAATCGCACCCAGCTGTTTCCTGAAGAAAGCCAGGGTATTGGCTTCAACAAAGAGGCCGGGAAGCTTGCTCCACACTCCCACAACCCTTTGGGTAAAGAAGCACCACCTGTTCTCAGTAATAAATGTGCCGCCGCCACCACCACCTGTGTCCTGTGGTTAGTGATTCATGGTTCATCCTGACCACACACGCATCCCCGCAGCGTATCCATCAGAGACTGACGCTTGATATTTCTTGATGTTTTCATTCAAGGAAGAGGTCAGTTTCAAGAGAAAGAAGCCTTCCGGTGAGAGTTCTGTGGCCGGCGTCTTGCAGACGGTACCTCTTTTGAAATCCAGCAGGAACCAGCGGTAGCAGAAGTAGAAGTGTGTGTAGTCTCCATTTTGGTGCATCAGCTCAAACAGCTCCGAGTCCAGAATCTGTAGGACAGGAAGAGGAAGGGAACAACACATCTGATCTTCCTCCAGTTCTGCAGACCTGTACCCTACACCCCCCCCCGTTTCTGGGACTTGTTTCACTGGAACCCAGCTTGAGACAAAATGACAAATTGGCACTGGCACACATCGAGAAACGTGTTTTTATTTCCTGGTAAAAGCAGGGACGGAGAAGCACAGTGAGTACGTCTCTGGTCTATCTGGTTGTGGGTTCGAGCCTTTTGTTGGCAGACGTCTTTCAGCTAACATTTTCAAAACATTACAGATTTTATTTTCCTGACAGGGAAGACAGAAGCTCCGAAAACCACTTCAAAGGGGTGGGTGGAGGCTGCTACCTCCTTGTCTTCTGTTTGGTTGGGCTATTTTAACGAGATCTTACTTTATAACGATCCATGGCATGATGTTGGACTGGGACACTGCTATTGATGAAGTAGACCATTCTGTAAAGACCTGGCTTAGCGTGCTTCATTATACACGGTATTGCACTGTTCTTTGTGATAAATAAAATACAGAGCAGGAAAAAACATTTGTGGGGATTATGGTAACTATTGTCCATTTGTTCCCTCTCCTCGGGGGTGGATTTTAAAATAGAAAATAATAAGAATGTTCACAAGAAAATGCCAGGAATGCTACAGACTCCAATACTCGTCTGTTGTGTTTTTAGTTCTTCTCAGTTTAAATAATTCAGTCAGGTAAATCATTTTCATTCCGGAAAAGAATATTTTTTTGCGAGTCATCAGTGCTCTCTTCGGTTTAAATGAAAGTTCCTTCGTCACACAGTGCGAGATGAAATTTATTTCAGTACGAGTTTGAGTCAGAGAGCTCATTTCGTCTCATCCTATCGCTCAAAAATGCAAAGCAATGTAGTCTTTGTGGATTATTTTCGTGACTGTTTTGTCTTCATTAACAGGTTTTTGACAAACATTCTCACTATCATCCAAATGAACACTGCACACACCTGGATAAGAGACCTCATGTTGGCGAAGTGTGTGTCCATAGCTCCACCGTTCGGGAAGTTCTGGCTCATTTTCTTCATCAGCTGCGTGAAACAGCTGTATGCAAGGCATTCTGGGAAGGAACACAAAGAATGTGTCAATATTTCATACAGAGGCCTCAACCTCACACATTAATGCCCTACAGCACAGAGAGGCCTGTGGATCAAGTCAAATCCTCCCTGAGTTTTCTGTAGGGACCAGAAATACCCCTCTTTAGGCCCCAAGGCCTAATGTGAAGCATCTGTGTGGTGGAGGTGTAATGCATGTTTCTGAAATCCTGATTGAGAAAAATTAGTAACAGGAAAAGATCTGGCTCTGCTAGCGATGGTGACAGCAATTATTAATGCAAAAAGTTATAAAAAGGATATAAACATATAATATCTACATTTTTAACATCTGTTAACATCTGTGTTCGACTCCGCTGAAGTGAGCAGAGAAGAGGGAGCAGAGTTTGGACTGAGAGAACACACGTAAGCCCTGTTCAGCCCTTCTGACCAATGGCAACATGGAATGTCAAATGGGCAAAGCATGCACATATTCGTTGGGCAGGCAGGGGGTGCTCTCACCATCATCCAGTATGACCATGAGAGGGGCCAGGAGGTCGCACATACCCTGGACATAGCCCATCTCCAGGTGCTCCCACACGTAGCTGTGCAAGGAGAGAGGATCAGGGAGGGGGACGTCAAAAGATGAGGGACATCTACAAGACGTGCACGGCCCCGTACCACCAGCCTGTATTCCATCTGGTGGTCACATCTCTCTCATCAAATGCAAATTATGTACTCATCCGTAAGAAGAGAATGGCAAACTTGCCAACAGGCATTTCACCCTGCAACTCACAGCTGGCAGCCCACTGTAGATCAGCAGGTGTGAGCCTGGTCAGTACCTGGATGGGAGACCTCCTGGGGAAGCTAAGGCTGCTGCTGGAAGAGGTGTTAGTGGGGCCAGAAGGGGGCGCTCACCCTGTGGTCTGTGTGGGTCCCAGTGCCCCAGTATAGTGACAAGGACACTATACAGTATAATGGCGCCATCCTTCAGAAAACTGAGGTCCTGACTCATTAAAAATCCCAGGGCACTTCTTGAAAAGAGTGGCCTGGCCACATATCCCACTGCCCTTTACCAATCATGATCTCCTAATAATCCCCATCTCTGAACTGGCTTCATCACTCTGCTCTCCTTTGCTATACCCCTTTGGTAGTGGTGGAGGGGATCCCCATTACCTGTAAAGCACTTTGAGTGGAGTGTCCAGAAAAGCGCTTTATGAGTGTAAGAAATTATTGTTAATAAACTAATTCAGAGGACAAAAATAAGAGACATGACATTATAAACTGCTGCAAAACTGAATTGGAGCTAGCCACCTGTGTGCTTATTTAATAACCGTGAACCACAAGAAAATGAAACCAGCATCTCTTTTATTTAAGTCAAACTCAAACTAGAATCAATGCCGGCAAATCTAATATCCATATAGATATCCATAGAGATACAACTCCAGATAGCAGATCAGAAAGCCTATTGCAGAATGGTGCACATTCCTGTGGCAGGCTGATACAACGACAATTCACTCACTCCAACTCTATGGATCAAAGGCGCTGTCCTTTCACAGTTTCCAGGGGTAAAATACGGGAGAGCGGTATCTACGCTGACCTGCACATGATGTTCCGCAGCTTCTCCAGGTTGGCCTGTGTGAAGTAGTAGTAGTTGCGGTCACATCGCTGCACGTCCTTGTCGATCCTGTGCAGGTTCAGGGCCACCGTGTCCAGGAGCTCGATCTGGGGGAGACGGAGAGACCTGGCGGTGAGGAACGTAGCAGTGCCGCCATCACGATGGCGAGCGCTTCAGAGACGTGGTGGCCACGATCGCAGGGCTCTCCCCTCCCACGGCCAGGCAGTGGTCATTTCCTCAGAACCCAGACTGCTCCTTCTCCGACGGCAGTGCTCAGAGTATAACAATGCTACCGCCAGAGCAAAAACTCCCAAGTATAATAGCAATTGAGATGAAGCTGTCAGCTCAAACAGATGAGTTCAATGATTCATGCTAAATGATGACAGGATTGATTCAGGAATTTTAATAGGAAGACGTTTCTGCTTTCAAAACTCCAGGAACAACTTCTGCTTGTATCTTGTACTCAATAAGTGCTGCAAACTCAAAGTGATTACAGGTGTACAGTAAAAGCTGATGTGTGGGCAGGAGATCAGAAGTCCCTGTATTACCGTGTATGATGAGAGGGAGAGGGGTGCACCACCCGGCCCGGTCATCAGTCTGTCGACCTGACCGCAAAGCTGCTCCTCGCTCAGAGAGTCCTGTCGCCCCTGCTCTCCCAGCATGCTCTGCGCCCCCTCCTCCCCTGGCTCCTCCTCCATGCTCTGGGCGTCCTCGATGCTGGACATGATCTGCGAGTGGCCAGACGCTACCGAGTAATTCCGCGAGGAGGGGAGGCCCGAGTCTGGGGAGTCAAACTCCACCAGGGGGCGCTCGTCGGGTGCCAGGACTACGGGGGTCCCCACGTTCGTCAGAGTGGTTGTACCGTCCTCCTGCCCCTGCAGGCCCCGTCCCCTGCTGTCCAGCTCTTCTACTGACATGAACACCTGAGAGAGAGAGAGAGGGAGGAGCAAGGGGGAGGGGAGAAGAACGACAATCACATTAACACACTAATCAAATAATAATAATCACGTTAAAATCCCATTCATCTGTACAGATGCTTATTCCAAACAAAGCACATGCAGACCAGAGCAGGACTTAAATGCTACCACATCTGTCAGTTCTGACTGCGCGACGGCTGCAATTTCTGCCACAGACACTACAGGGCGCAAACGCTTTGCGTACAGAGCATTCCTAATGCCTCGTTCTAAATAAGGAATCCCAGCCTCAGCTGCTGGAGGAGGGAGCAAATGGTTCATCTAAAAAACAGCTTAGAGCTTTATTCTATTGCAGTTCAAAAGAAAGCTCAGCTGATCGTTAACTACCCCTCCCACGCTCTTCATTTCCTTTTCCAATTGCTGCCTGCGGGGAGGTGTGCGAGAATGTCTGCGGCCAAGAAAAATGTCTACGAGAAATCCTTGGTTTCCTGTGCGATCGCTATGTTAAAGGCAGCAAAGTGACCGTTTCCTGTATGGGGCCATCGGATGTGCGATACGGGCAGAGCCAGATGTGTGTATCTGTCCTGTTGCATGTCTAGGAAAATTGTATGTGACTCTTTCATGTAGTTTTGCATGGCAATACCAAAGCCAAAATTCCATCCGATTTGGACGGACAATAAATATATCTTATCTGAAGAAAAGGCCGTGATGGAATAGGACAGACAGATTATCACTCTGGCCACACCCAGGAGGTGCTCTGGGAGTCAGACAGGCGTGGGCGCCGGCTCGCCTCGTTGCTGATGGTGGAGTCTCGGTGGACCAGCCTCTGGACGTGGCTGTCGATGCTGCTGCCCGAGGAGAACTTGGCGAAGATGGCCGAGTGGGTCTCCTTCTCTCGCTGCTTCACGATCACCTCGCAGGCCTTCCACTCCTCCATCACCTGCTGGTACTTGGCAGCAACCTTCTCGTCGATCTGGCGGGGGGAAAACGGGCAGAGCACGTCACCCGCCAGCCAACACGAAGGACCGACTCGCGCACTGAACGTCTGGAGGACAGGTTACATGTAACAGAGGTCTTGAACTGGTAGGACAAAGAGCTTTTGCCCCAGACTGCAACAGTATTTCTGCTCTTTGCTAAGTTTATAACAATCTAGCTGGGGTATGCGAAAAGACAAATTGCTAATGCAAAAAATTGTATATGGCTAATAAAGTGATCTTATCTGATCTCTTATCAGTTAAAGCTAATAAATATGAGCCCGGTGAGAATTAATATGGTCACAAATTCAATATGTTTTGTAACCCCAGGTTACGCTTCATTCTATTAAAAAAAGCGAGAAAGTGACAGCTATTTAACAGTTCCAAAAATATATCAATGGGATTAACACTGTCTGGCCAGCAGGTGTCACTGTTTGCTCTGCAGCGTACCTGGGTCATCTCTTTCTTGCCCATGCCGAACTTGTAGTGCCCTAGCAGGAAGGGCCACACCTCCTTCCTGATCTTGTGCTCCACCCCACCGTAGTACACCAGTCGCAGCAGCTCCAGCTCCTTGTAGTTCTAGACACAGAGCGAACGAGAGAGTGGTCAGCAAGGCAGTCTGAAGTCTTAATGCCCCAGCTGTACGTCTGCAGAATTGTGCCATGAGTCCCACGAGGGCGGTTCCAGGAACCAGATAACAAGCTCATGGGTCTCCAGAAATAAAACAGCCCAGGAGATACTTGTTTACTCTTAAAAGTGCAACATATTTCCTGCAAGCTAAAGCTAACAAAAAAAAAAGTCAGCTGAGAAAATTACAAAACATCTAGCATCTAGCCGTCTCCCTTTGGCGCTTTGCACAGTGGAGGACTACACTTCGTGCACAACTTGGCAATCGCACATGTTTCCCAGAGGGCTCGCCACCCCCTGGCCACCCTCTCACCTTGCAGTCCTTCTGGTACTTGCTCCACACGTCCTTGCTCAGGCCCCCCGACGCCTCGCAGGGCTTGTCCGGCGGGACGATGTTGTGATTGACCAGCGCGGACAGGTGTGTCCGCACTGTGGACAGGTGCCGGCAGTACGCCAACCCTGAGACACGAGGGAAGGAGGTAGGAGCCGTGAATCGGGGAGTTTTTTAAGCTTATTCACAGAACACCTGTGCAGATTGCGCATCTACAGCATGCACTGCAAATCAACCTTTACATTCCATGCTATCAGAAACCTTGCATGCATGAAATAAAGGTGTGGAACATTTTGGGGTGGACAGAACTGGACATCCCAGAATGCCACTGAGGCGTGGTTTGGATCCCTGCTGTACAATAGCTCTGTCATCTTGGAACATTTGTAAGAAGGTGTTGAAAAAGCATTAAACTAGTCTTGCAGCTGGTAAACACTAGTTTACTGTAAAGGTCGTCTACAGGGTCCTCAAGGGGAGTTTGTATCCACTGGGGCGGCTCTCCCTGACAGTACTGCAAACCTATGGGCACCCAAAACCAGTTCTGTGGATTACTGTTCCATAGGATCAAAGGGATCACAATCTGGAAATAAACCACTCCTTGATCCCTTTAATCAACTCTCTCAAAGAGGCTATCCCTGGGTCTGGGGAGGTGTACTTTATGAGTACTGCATCCCTATAAAGAACCTTGTTAAAAGAAGATATGATTCACTGCTGTCTCAACTACTGTTGGCTCTATTTGCAGTCTTTTCCCCAACTATTGGGATAAATTGTCAAAAACAGACCAAAATACACGATTCACATTCTTATTGTTTTGCTTCATTGTCTGGAAGATGTTGGCGTCAAAACGAATACCTGTCTTTTCTACAAAATCAATGTTTCCCATTTTATACCGGTAGCTGATGTTTCTGCTAACTTCACCTGGAGTGACACAGCCCAGGTTTGCATACCCGTGTCAATACAGGATACAACCCACAAAACAAACCAGCTCCTATACTGTCTGAGTTATCTGAGGTACCCTGGAGATTCCACATTTTTTTAAATAGAGGTATGTATTCCAATTGCAAACAAAAAAAGTCAGTGGACAAATAGTTCATTTTCTGACCTTTGTACATGGTGAGAACATTGTACACATTGTCCATACTGTACAAACACCCACAGGCCTGGCAGGGAGGCACTCACTGGGGCCATGCACATTCCACAACAAACAAACAGGCCTGTTCACTTACACCCATAGAAAGCCCTGGAGACAATCTGCTTCTTCATGTTCTGGCACAGCATCTTCAGAGGTATCCTGGACACAAACACAGGGCACAGCGGTAAGGAGGACAAAGCCTGCAGTGCTATTCTACACTGACTTCTCTCTTATGAGACATACATTTCCATCTCCCATTAATTTGTGTATAAATCCTTTTAAACATTTCCTGTTTGAAGCAGCAGATAAAGCAGGACGCAGTTAACATTCCGTATTTTCTGACTTTCCTACTTATGTACCGTATTCCCTGGAGTCTTCTCTGGCAGCATGTAGGTGTGACATTTAACTTCCCCTTTGAATGCATTGAGTTAAAAAAACATTTCCTTATCTAATGCTTAAAGCTTAGAGGGATAAAAGCATCATTCTATAAATTCTATTTACCTGCTGGCAAAAGCAAAATGACACTTCTCGTGAGTTGTTTTACAGCCTGTGGTGTGTGGACACGTAGGACAGGCAGCAGGTGGCGAAATGCAGCCATTCCACATGGAGTCCCAACAGGGGGTCAGGGGTCACTCACTCACCGGTCGTGGATGCAGGTGCAGCCGGGGTGCAGCTCGTAAGGGGTGCTGCTGCCCCCCGTGGAGCAGGACAGGCAGGAGGACACGTGGCTGCCGGACTCCCCCTGCTGCCAGGACAGGGGACTGCTGCCGAAACCCTGCATCTCGATCATGTCCCCGGGGTCTGGGAGACACGGAGACGGAATGGGGATCACCGAGGGGCTCCCGGGATCACAAGAGCTGGGCGACGGGCAGAGACCACCCCCTGCTGCAGTGCTGCAGAGAGCGCGGCCATTCCACGCTTGAAGGGCAAGAGCTAGATCGCACAAGCCATTACACTCAAGCTGCTGTTTAATCAAAATCATGGTGACTAGAATTAAGGAGCTTGCTGAAGCACGGCCCTAAGGGTGACACTGGGGATGTACCGTTGCATACCGATCTGAGCTGGTGCAGGCTTTCTAAGGTGAATGCTCAAACTCAGATGCGGGGCACTTTAGAACAATAGAGAGTTCTGGCCTTTTTTAAAAGGGTTTCAGCTCTTCGCGCCATTTTTAAAAATATTACAATAACAGAAGAAGAGAATTATAAATATATATACTTTCCACTGCGTCAGCGAAATGTCTGAAAAAAAAAGTCTGCCCTTTCACAAAAAACGTGAATCGGATCGCTTTGGAGTGGGATTCTCAATGATGTCTCTGATGGGATCAGAGTGGCGTGCGAAGGCAGACAGGTGAACCGTGGCAATAGAGGATGTTGGATCATTGTGCAGGGAGGTCTAGAGAGCTTGTAGTCTGGTTTATTACTAGCATTCAGTAAGGAACATTTCGCCCCTGGAAATATCAATGGAGTGAGCTCTCAGAGATGCAGACTTGAGATTGAACCCTCAAATTCCTCTGTTTTTTCCCCCCATAAATTGGATCACAAAGATCTGAACTGTGGTTTTACACCTAAACTGTTTCATCATCTATGAACCACTTCCCAGGAAGTTCTTGATGCAAATATGCATTATGATATCATACTAATATTCTGTTTTCAACTAAGATGCTGACAATTTTCCTTTAAAGTAATTATCCAGTGGACATTAAACTGATTCCACGGGAGACCAGCGATTCTGCAGAACATTCCACGTCCATAAAATAACTCAAGGAGGGTGATCAATGCCACTCCATGACATTAACATTTCAGTTACAATACCCGGCCACTCGGTGGCAGTGTAAGTAGCACAAAAGTTGAATGCCATGAAAAGGAAAAAGACAGCACATCGAGGACAATACAGACCACTCCGTCTGTGATTAAATATTTAAATCTTCTCTGACCATCCGGACCCTTTACCTGTATGATGAACACAGGCCACTCAGCTCAACCGTGATTTCAATTAAGGTAGAGATTTATGCTTCTTAATTTTAATGTTTAACCAAAAAACAAAGGTACATAGATGTATTCCAGTATACATTTATGTTGTTGGTAACATCATAAAACACGCAGGTTACAAAACAAGGTTAGGAATCGGAAACGCATGCATCTGTCACTGAGACGAAATGAAGCAGTATCAATGCAGCGACAGCTTAGTGCAATGTTCAGTTTGGTCACGAGATGCAGCAGACAGAGCAAGGCTAAATTTGAGCATTCACATCTTTCAGGAGTTAAGGGGTGAACAGTTTAAAAAAAGGAGAAAAGAAATTAAGCAGCAATTCAGGCTCATGCTGTAAAGTGCATTCAAATTTTGAACAGAAACAAAAACACAATTTCTAGATATATATATGGATACATGGATATAAAACCAAAAGAGAATTTCAACGTCAAAAAATGCTCTTCACCTTAATTCTTCAGGTTGGAGCTGATGGCCTGCTAGAAATTGTTGCCTCTCTTTGGTTGTTGCACAAAACCCGAAACACATGTCACAATCAGATTTCTGCTCCTTAGTTTGTTTTAGGTTTGTGAGTTTGGGATAGAGTTCTTATTTTACAGTCAATAGGCATCATGTTCACGTAACAATCCATGTTTCTACTACAACAGAACCCCACAGGACCTAACAACTGTGATGAAAGGTGACTGAAATTAGTGAAGAATTACAGTGAACAGCATCACGGGGAAAAAAAAAAACGGCAACCTCAAAGCAACAGCAAAAAGACCCAACACAAGGAAAAGGAAATGATCAAATTATTTTAGTGTTCTTTTCCAGTTTGCAGAATTACACATAAAAAGTAACCAGCCACATGCAAAAAGTCAAGCATGTTGCAAAAAAGGTTAAGCAATCAAATATAACCCAAAATAAGGAAAATAACAAAAGAAAACAGAAAACAGAAGAATCCAAGCTTTTCCCAGCCAACAGAACCCTCCCCCCCAACAGTGCTGAGAGAAGTGAAGTCTGCACAGGGTGAGATCTCTCTGCCCCGTCTGCACGGCCACAACCCAAACAACTTATTTCAACAGCTCCACTGTCTGGGCAAGCAGAGCGCTCCTGGAGACCTCAGAATGGGATGTAGTCTGGCTCGTGTGGGACCACATGCGTCTAAATGGCATTGAATAACATTCAACTTCCAAGCCAGATGAAGAACCGCAGGAAACGACAGGGAATGACATTTAAACATTGTTCTCTTTCTTTTTTCTTTTCCCGTTTACAACCTTTTTTTGTGCAATATATGCCAGGGACCTGTGCAATACATTTATATCTATATTTATATCTATATCTATATTTACATCTATATTTATATTCATATGTGTG